AAGATTGAATCTTTGAGTAATAGGTTTTTAAGAAAAAATTGAGGTTCTTCGAGAGAGGGAGATGAGGAGTCAAAAGTCTCTTTTTTTCATTATCTCAAACATAAAGATAACAAGGACTATAACACTCTTTTTCTGATCAAAAACAGAACCTACACTCTAGAGGCCTAGGAACTCTTCTCCAGCCATTAATGGACATTGGAGGATATCATCCATCCACTTGGAAGAAGATGGGAATACAACGTACAATTTAAAACAGATAAGAACCCAACTGTAAGCATTCTAAAAACAAAAACCTAGCCGTTGCACATTTGAACCTAACGGCTACTTGCTAAAAATAACAAGTTCTTCACCTCTTCGATTTCAGAATCCTCTTCACTTCTTTCTGCAGGATTGTCATCTGCAGCTCGATATTAAGCTTGTGAGCAGCTTAAATCTCAACAAAGATAAGATATGAGAAAGTATTGCAGGACAAGCAGAAAGATAAACATAATACGTACAAGTTGAAGGGGATTAACCCTAGATGACAGTTACTGGGTCACTTGTATTACTCTCTGAGAAACTGGTTGAGATGAGCCAAAAAAAGATCGGTAACTGCGAGATAATGAGAAAAAATTTAAAACACCTTTTAGAATTATACCTTGCAAAAAAAAGATACCCCTTGGAAAAAAATAACGTGTCAAAAAAGAAAATAACCTGTACTCGATGCAGTTTCAAATAAAAGTAGAATACCTATTTGGTTGAATTCACAAAGCAACTATTTGGTTGAATTCGTTGCTTTACCATAGTCCAAATAACATGATCAAATATTGTTCATCAATATAATGGTGGAAAGGTGTTGAGCCCTTGCATGACAGTGTGAGTTCAAACTCCGTCGATGATTAATCTATCTAATCTAACAAAATCTATCGTTTGACAAAAAAATTATAAAGTTATACATAAGACTCAAAATGTCCTCGCAATGACCACAATAGATTTAAAACAGTTCAAACCCTCTAAAAGAAAAGGAGGGATGAAATAAATGGTAGCAAAGACCAATACCACCGTCGGCATACTATAAAGAAATCTTGAGTTTTTTAACACATGAAAGAAGGAAGTTACAGTAGCCACTTAATTACTTATCATAGGGTAGCTTCTTCTTTTCATAAGACTTGTCTCGAGAAGAACCACCATCCGTCTCAAACTTCTTTCTTTGTTGTTTTTCAAACACTGTCGAAACTCATGACGTGCCACTGTTACCTTGGTGCGCTTTGTATCTTCTTTTCCTTCCTCCGCTTCCCCGTATTTCACATTGTCCTCGTAATCATCATATTCTTTGACTGAATGATGGAATTCCTATACGAAAGCAACCACCAGATAAACAGAAATACTAATGTGTTTCAATAAGAAGGAAAGGATAAAAAAATAGCTTATGAATACTAATAATCGACATGTCAACAGTAATCGCATATAGACACACATTAAAATTTTATTTACATCTCTACCATATCCCCGCATTTCTAAGTCGAATTAACAATTAACTATACTGGATACCTGGAACCTAACTTTAATCTGCTGGGCAGAAAATACCTATGCAAAATCAGTAATCACCGTTAATTCAAAGAATTACAAACGAGAAAACCGAAAGAATCCACAATTCAGATGCTTCAATATCATGCTAAAAATTGGAATTTCAGATTCCATATATTTTCAGCTGATAGCCCGAACCGATCAACTCACCAGAAAGTCCTTCCTTTCAATCTCAAAGATGATGCAAGGCCGAAGAATTCGAAATGTATGGAAGTCGTTGCCGAGCCCTAACGTAATCGTCCGATCCCTTCAAACATCAAAACCTAATCAAAGCAGGTCAGAATTTGTGTTCTAATCAAACCATCATGATCAACATAACAGACTGACTGAAAGAGATTTTAATTAAAAAAAATAAAAATTGAAACCGCTTACATACCTGTTCAGGTAGATAAATCCCAAATTTCAGAAAAAAAAAATAAAAAAAAACGCGAGATGAAACCCTAACGCTAACTGATAGATTATCACTAATCTGGATTAATTGGTGTGAGATAGGGAGAGATGATTGATTGCGCGTTTCTCACCTGGAATTATCTCCGTTTTCTGATTTGACAGAATTGGAAGCAGGAATAGGCTTGTGTTATTCTTTCTGCGACTGAGTTTAAAGGTGAGAATTTCCACAACATGAGTCTAACATGCATGGGGAATGCTACGTATATACAGTATACTACAAGTATTTTAATCGTTTAATTTGATCTCCATAATTACTTAAATCTGTTATATTTAATGTCAGCCATTTATTGTAAGAGTCAATGGATATCAATCCGTTACTAACATGGTAAGTAATTTGATGTTCAAATTACTTAATAGTGACAGCAAGGTCTTGGTTTGACTAATTTAAGATACTTAGTTGTGATGCTTAAAATAAATAAATAAATAAATAAAAACAGTTTATTAAAAAATCTCGAACACCAAATGTATTTGGTAAAACAAAAGAAAAATGTTTTTATTTTTTAAAAACTACTATCAATAACAGTAGAAAAACATATAAAAGTAAAAGTAGAGTTTACCATACTTCTAAAAAAGTGTTTTTTTAAAGCATAGTAAACAGTGCTCACTTAATAAATTTTTAAATAATAACTATACCCCGCATATTTTTCAAAATTATAATCTTTCCCCTTGCATTATTCTTTTTGGCAATTATTATTTCACATTCAATATCATATCAATTTTTTTTTTTTTATCATTTCACATATTTAGAGTAGTTTTATCTAAAAGTTTACCAAACACTCGTACATTTAAAAAGAAAAAGTTTATCAAACACTCAATAACTTTATTTTAGTTGTTTATTCTCATAATATAGCAGAAATAGTTTTTTTTTTGTTTTTAAGTACAACAATACCAAACTAAAAACCCTTAATAGGAGACCTCAGTAGATAAGACATGGATTGCACCCCAATATTAGCTTAGTGGCTGCTCTTGCAACTTATAGTTCTTGAGATTTCATTTTCTGATGCATAGGAGCATGAATTCTTTTAATAACAGGGAGGGAGGTTCGAACTTTGGGTCTTCTTTCATTAGATCAGAAGTTAGTTGGTTATAGATTTGTTAAGTTGATCCCTAATCCATTATATTTTATGCGTGCAAACATTAGTATGGTCATCGTGATCGGTCCCTACGGTTTCGCTAAGAAACTTCCATTTCATTTGTATAATGTTTCATGAGATTGGTTCACAAAGTTGATGCACTAAAGCCGGTAATGGTGCTTTCACTTGCAAGGCTGTTCTGCACTTTTCTTTTCTTTGTGGCGAAACTCATTCATCAAATAACAAAGACAAAAGAGAGAACCAAGAAAAAGAGAGGATTATATACAATTTTAATGGAGAAAATGCTTAAAGGTGGAGATAATGGGAAAAAAAAAAGGAGAGAATAAAGGAAACAAGAAATAAAAGAAAACAATGCACATGAAAAGAAAAATTGTTTACTTGCAATTCAAGATTATAATCTGCTTTTTTTATTAATGCTAAAAATATTGATAAAAAAAAAGGAGTTGGAATCTGTAGTTTATAATTTACGTTGTGGTCGATTCACGGAATTTCGTGTTTATGATCGAAACTGTTCATATTATAAATCACTTTGTAATGATCATCTCTGCAAAAAAATCAACTAAAAATAAGGTGTTTTAGTCATTAACTGTAGCAAACAGTTCATAGTTCTTTTTACCAAACTCATCCATCTATTTTTATACGGTTCAATAACTAAACGATCTCATATTTTACTAATTTTTTGCATAAATGATCATCACAAAGTGATTTATAACATGAATAATTTCGATCATAAACATAAACTTTCGTAAACCAACCACGTAGCATTGAGAAACCAGTTAATTTCAAAAAGATTTTCTATGGCTTCTCCTTCATGCGAAGTGATTAATAAAATACAATGTATGATCCTGTTGACTCTTTGAAATGATTGCGCCATGAGGATATGCAAATTCTATCAAGGAAGAGTAGATAAAGTAGGTTGATATTTTATCATCTGTTTTGTTATTAATTTTGAGTACCAAAAATTTGAGTTAAAAATATGTGACAGTCGACAGGTCTAACATTGTCATTCTGAATCGACTGATGTAGGATTTATATTTTAAATTCTATGAGTTTTACGCTCGCATCTAAAACCTAAAATATGAGCTAACATGGTTCTTATATACAATGAAGAAAAAACGGCCGTGTTAAGGATGAGATTTAAAACCGAAACAATATTTACAAAGTATGTGTCAGTCCAAGGAAATTGTGACTGACACCGTAAGATATAACTGGTCGGTCGCCCAAGGGAACAGCAGTCAAACACACAATCCCAACGAAATCCAGACACTAACATTTGGATAAGAGAATTTATATAGGGTTTAGAGTTAATTCTTGAATGAGTAAGAGCGATTGATAAGTGCACATTTTCTTAAATTAAAGGACATCCTTATTTCTAAAGAAAGCCCCTATGCTTACGTAGTTATTCATGACATGAACGTCGACTATATTCACTTGTTACTAATTGAATTTAAGTTGAGCAACTAACTAGTCTAGTTGTATTTCTCTTTTCAATGTTAGGTCACAAGTTGAAATTTATCTAAAGTAGGTTGTTACAACTTTTAACGCGATTTCTAATCCTTAACTTTTCAATGAATTCTTCATCAGTGGTTGTGAATGACTCAATCTTTTCGACATTGGTTCTGTAGGAGCAAGTCAGAAAGTTCTTGTGCAAATAATTTTATGAATGTACAAAAGTAGGATTCAATGATATATTAATAACCTAATAATTGAGAATTAAATTATGAATGCTTTTTTTTTGGTAAAAAAAATTATGAATGCTTAATGATGTATACATGTTAAAAGCACCAAAGGTATATCAAAGATGCTTTGCTCATGGCTCAAGCTTCTTGATGGGTCAATTAAAAAGCTTTCACTTCACACTGGGCCTAGCTACAAAAATGTATAACTTGATTATATAAGCAAACTTTCCAAAGAACTCAACCATACATTATTGCTTTGCCAAACCAATTCACTTAATTGATCAGAAGAAGAAGCACAAGCACTCACATTCGCAGATTCAGCTGCTTCCATGACTAATTCCCTGGTTATTCTCCTTCTCCCTTTTCTCTCTCTACCTTGCTTTTTCCTCTCTCTCTCTGGTGCCACCATCACTACTACTTCAACTCAGATTCCCAAGGTAACTTTGAATTATGGGTTCATATCCAAACTGTCTTCTGATTAATCTTGTTCTCTGTTTGGTTGACGAGAAAATGAATACGAATCTTGTTATATTTAATATATCTAAATCAAAATTCTTTTAATTATATGTCATTGGTTATTTGGCAGCATCATGTGGTTTATATGGGAAGCTCATTCTCAAATGGAAATGCAAGAGATAATGGAGCTGATGAAGCTGCAGAATCTGCTTATTTGCAAATGTTGTCATCCATTATTCCAAGGTTTATTCTTATCATAATTTATCTTTATGACATCATAAACACCAGCATAAACTTAATGAATTTTTGGATTAATTCTTCATCAAGGAATCTAATTTTACTGCCTATTAATTAATATATCATGTCTCTGTATCTGCCAGCCATGAGATTGAGAGAATATCTGTAATCCACAATTATAATCATGCTTTTAGAGGATTCTCTGCCATGCTTACAGAAACTGAAGCTTCTATTTTATCAGGTAATTAAGTCCTTTTGTAAGTCTACCATTTCATTATATATATATATCCCCTTTTCATTAGGAATCTTATTCGACGGACAACTTGTGGTACTCATTACGAAACCGTTTATATATTTACTTTCTAGACCTTCAAATTAAGATCCCAGATCCTTTCATGAATTGTTTATTTTATTATTTTACTGATGAATCCATCAAGGAAAGAAGCAACAGCTCTTGCAGAAATACAGCCAGCTTTTTCTTAAAAATAAATAAATTTATAAATCGCTTTGATTTATGCCACTGAAATTTATATAGAACAAATACAATAGATAGATCCAAGATCTCTAAAACACATGTTGGATGAGTTGTTATGCTAATGAAAAAATAAAATATTATTGTTATTATTATCATGGTTATTATTATACAAGGCCTTTATCTAAAAGAATTCTCATTTTTTTTTGATAAAAATGGGAACTAGTTGTAGGGCATCAAACTTCAATGATCCGAATCACTATTTTTAAGTCTTCACTCATAGATTATCCTTGCAAAAAAGTAATTCAATCTGAAATCATTTACTCATTTGATTGTCATGATGAGATTTCAATGTTTTTTTAGAACATAGTGTTTGTCAATTTCTTTGAACTTAATTAGATGTCTCAAATATTTCCGATTTGGCTAATATTTTGCAAGGATAATCTATAAAAGTGCAACTTGAAAAATAGACGGTTCAAATCGTTGAATTTCGATGTGGAGTGAACTCCACAACTAGTCCCTATTTTTACCAAAAATGAAAATTCTTTAGACAAAAGGCCTATATTATTATCTTATATATATATATATATATATATAGATTTATATGTACACACTTTTTACTAATTACACTAGAAGATGAGTACAAACTCTGTGTGTGTGAACAATTTTATTTTGTTTTTTGTTTTTTTTTTATTAAGGATTGTGATTAGTTTTTAAATTTTAAAAAAGAGTATGAGACAATGATGATGAGATAATTTATCTTGGGAATTGTTATTGGCACTCCAAGTTTCTCATTCTACTACTCCAAACTTTCTATATTTAGAAAGAAAAATACACTTGTGAGTAGTGTAGAATGAAATTTTTGGAGTGCCAATAATACTTCCCTCTATCTTAATAAGTGCATATTTTTTTTGTCATAGAAAAAATAGGTATATAATCGTCATTTTCTCAAAAAATGAGGGTAAAATAGGAAAAATAGGGATATGATTGACAAAATTAAAGCCTCTTCAACCGCCAACCTCTTCCACGTTCTCCTCAAGCGCAACCGCTTTAGTTCATTCAAACTATCCAAAAAACATTATGATTTCACTTACCTATATGAAAAAATGATGGTGAGACAATTTCTTTTAATAAGTGTATATTTTTTATCTTATGTAAATATTGTGTATCAAAAGTGAGGGTAAAATAGGGAAAATAGGGATATGATTGTCATTTTCTCAAAAGATACAAAATTACTATTTTGCCGTCCTTATGTAAATATTGTGTGTCAAAAGTGAAGACAAAATAGGAAAAAAGGGGCAAAAAGTTCAAAAGATACAAAATTACTATTTTGCCCTCTTATGTAAATATTGTGTATCAAAAGTGAGGGTAAAATAGGGAAAATAGGGATATGATTGTCATTTTATCAAAAGATACAAAATTACTATGTTGCCCTCCTTATGTAAATATTGTGTATCAAAAGTGAGGGCAAAATAGGAAAAAAGAGGGCAAAAAAGTTCAAAAGATACAAATTTACTATTTTTGCCCTCCTTATGTCAATATTGTGTATCAAAGTGAGGGAAAAATAGGAAAAAAAAAGTGGCAAAAAGTTGACAAGGCGGGTTCTCGTAATAATAGTACTAGCATATGGGTACACACAAAGTGTGTGAGAAAATTTTTTATTTTTGTTTTTGAAATATAAGGAGAGAGGAAAAGAGTGATAGAGAATGTGGGAGTGGGAAGTTTTTTTTTTTTTTTTTTTTTTCCTTAGAGATATTTTATGATTAAATGTAGGTAAGGCTTTGAAAAAAAAAAGTAAAATTTGGTTGTGTGAAATTACATTTCTGACCCTATATTTCTCATTCATGTTTTGTTTTAATTAGAGGGTTAAATTGGTAATTTTATAGAATTTTGGTTAACAATAAGTGTTTTATTAATTAGTAGAGATAGATAATGCGAGAGATATATTACTATAACTGTATAGAACCGATGACATGATAAATTTGTAGAAAGAAAATAGTGAAGATGTGCTTGTTTTTCATGAGGATGTCGTTTAACTTGCGTTTACGTTATGTTGGACCTCCTTCCTCCCCCTATGGGCAGCCTGGTAGTAGCTGATGGTTTCGTAGGCGTTAGTAGGCCCAAGAATGACCTGGACTAGCTTTTTCTTTGGAGAAGTTGCCTTTTGAATGGGGTAATTTCAAGTATGGATTATATTTCTTATTACAATTGTTGTACAGTACCTGTAGAAAATTATAATAATGTGCATCCACATTGTATTGAACGTTGACAATCTCATTTTTGAGACCCTGACTACATTGTCTTCATTTTCTTTGTTTTGAGTACAAGCGATATTATACATTAATTTACGCTAAGAGGAGGGAATGAGAAGGTATGAACCCGAAATACAATAAGTTGAGAGGAGACCCTAACCATAAAAAACAATTCACCACTTGTCACGGTTTGTTTATATGTTACTAAAAGCTCCTAGCATGCTACCAAGGGAGAAGTGTTTCGCCTTGGAGTATTAATTCTCTTTCTAAAGGGTAAAACCCGAATAAAACTCATCTTGTAATCAACTTAAAAAATATTTCATTGGCACATTAAGTAGAAAGTTTGTAATGAAATTATTGTTGGCTAGCTCAGTATGTTGCTTAGCCAAACTCCCTACCCCCAATATCATTGTATTGAAACATTTCTAAACATGTTGCAGGCAATGATGGTATCGTCTCAATCTTCCGGACTCAATGCTCCAACTACATACAACTCGTTCTTGGGATTTCTTGGAGTACGGAATTGGCCAGGCCATTAAAGAACAAATATCTGCACCCATCAAGTGATGTTATAATTGGGATGATAGACACAGGTAACTCCATTATCTGTCAGTTTCTTTGCCCCAAATAATTTTTTCTTGTTTCGGTGTTTTTCATTTATATGGGAGTGGGGTTGGGGAGACTCAACACAAAATCAAGACAAGTGATGTTTTAAGATTCATACAACCAGCTATCTTTAGTGAGATGAGACTTTGTTGTTATTGTTGGGGTTGGGAAAAATAGCTGGCTAAAAAAAAGTGTATTTGAATGGGTAATGGGTATCTACGCAGATACGGGTAAGGCAGTGCGCCTGTAGCCTTGTACCTAAGTTCGGACCTTCTCCACATTAGAGTAGTTTTGAATCGCTTTGTGAGAAGGAAAAAATGGTATAATTCGCATGTTATTACAGTAAGCAATTAATGCATTGATTCAATATTATCCATGTCAACAAAAATGAGAAAGGAAAAGATCAACCATAGCTCGGCTTTGTGTAGGAAGGGAAATGAAGATTCTTGATTTCATAAATATGAATATTTTGGAAGGATTATGAAGGAGAACTAGACATAATTGCTCTCCTGCCTTTTCTTTTACATGTTTAGCTCTACTTTGAAAAAAAAAAAAAATATAATGATCAAGTACAAGTATGGTTGAACACGTAGATAGAAATTGGATCCTCTGCTGATCTTTGTTCATACGCGTTCAAAGGTTTAAGTGTTTCGGGTTTGGTTTAGTATTTAGGTTGGAAAAATGATTAAATGGACGTATAAATGACGTTGTTTAAGGAGAAGAAGAATTTGGGATCAACTGGTATGTTCTTGTTTTCTATAAGCTAACTAAAAAGTTATAACAATGGCTACTCCACAAAGTATATAGAGTTAGGCATTCTCGTGCCACATTTAATTGTATAAGTTGAGCCAAATCCTATTTGTGTAAAGAACAATTTATTCGGATCAGGAGAATCGTACAGTTTTTTCAAACCAGTTGAAGGATAGAGTTTTACATTGCATTATTAGATCGGTTAAATCTTTAGCAACTCCCTTCTGTAGAATAATTTTGTTTTGTTAATTCAATGTGTTGATTAAGGGATATGGCCTGAGTCTCCGAGCTTCAGTGATGAGGGAATTGGTGCAGTCCCTTCAAGATGGAAAGGAGTCTGTATGGAAGGCTCGGACTTCAAGAAATCTAATTGTAATAGGTGATTTTATTGTCTCACATTCTATCTATACACTGCATTTACAGTGTTAATCGCTATTTCAGCTGGCTTATGATTAGAAAATTAGAGAGAGAGAGAGAGAGAGAGAGAGAGAGAGAGAGGAATTCAAATTAATGTTTCAGAGTTTATTTTGAAAGTTGATAGGTAAGATACTACATCTTGATTTCATTACATTTTTTTTTGTCACAGAAAGTTGATAGGTGCAAGATACTATAATGTTCCGGTGACAACAAATGGTGACCAGAGCCATTTAGCCAGTACCAGTGGCTCACCAAGAGATTCTGTCGGCCATGGAACTCACACTGCATCCATAGCAGCCGGTGTGCAAGTTCCCAATGCCAGTTACTATGGCTTGGCACAAGGTACAGCAAGGGAGGCTCACCGTCAGCTAGGATTGCATGCTACAAGGCATGCTTGGATGTTGGTTGCTCTGGTGCCACCATATTGAAGGCTATCGATGATGCAGTTAGAGATGGAGTAGACGTCATATCTATTTCCATTGGGATGAGCTCACTGTTTCAGTCTGACTACTTAAATGACCCCATAGCCATTGGAGCATTTCACGCTGAGCAAATGGGAGTGATGGTAATTTGCTCTGCTGGAAATGATGGTCCCAATCCTTACACTATTGTAAACACAGCGCCATGGATCTTCACCGTTGCAGCTTCTAACATTGATAGGGATTTCCAATCTAATATCATTCTTGGAAATGGGAGAACATTCACTGTAAGATGTTTACTGAAGTCCTGCAGTTAGTTTCTTGCTTATTCAAAAGTTTCTAATATCTAGGTTCTAATAGGGTTCTGCCATCAATTTCTCCAATCTCACTCGTTCAAAAACATATCCCCTTGTATTTGGAAAAGATGCCGCTGGCATTAACACGCCTGTATCGGAAGCAAGGTGATCATAATTCATCATCGTCCGGCCTCTTCTCTTTTGGGAAATTTTAACATTTTAATAAAGTATATGGTTTGGCACTTAACTGCAGAAATTGCTATCCGGGATCATTGGATCAAAAGAAAGTAGTTGGCAAAATAGTCGTTTGTGTTGATGATGACCCGGCTGTTTCACGGAGAACCAAGAAATTAGTTGTTGCTGATACTAAAGCCAAAGGGTTGATTTTGATTGATGAAGCTGAGAAAGGTGTACCTTTCGATTCAGGCATTTTCCCATTTACAGAAGTTGGCAATATTGCAGGGCTTCAGATTCTCAAGTACATAAATTCTACCCCGTAAGCATTCAAACCATTTATGCTAAGAATTATATGTGCTTTGGGATCATTTTTACCAGCTCAGTATTTCGGTTTGCATGTTCTTGTCGTGTGGTGCATTATTCGATATTATGTGCTGCTAAATATCCGATAAATTCCGGTCAGACCTATGTGATAGGGTGGTTCCTTGCTAAAGGATATGGTCATTGAATTTGAGCCTCTATTACGACAATCTTCATACGCATCAGTTACGAATTACTATTTTTATGCCATAACAACAGAAAACCAACAGCAACGATTCTCCCAACAGTTGTAGTTCCACAGTATAGACCTGCACCGGCCGTTGCATTTTTTTCATCGAGGGGTCCTGCACAGCTTACAGAAAACATTCTCAAGGTTATTTTCTTTAGCTTGCACCTCTTTGTTTTTTTTTTTTTTTAAATTCACCTGCACCTTAACATTAGATATATCCGTGCATGTTTAATTTGATGTACATTCCCAATTTTACAGTTCTCCAAACATTTATATAGTCGGAAACCATGATTTAGTTGGATTCGCACTAAACCTTGTAACTCTGAAGCAAGTGTACAGACCCGATGAAATCGGACCATAAAGGCTTTACATTCCAGGTCGATGAGATCAGATAGACAAATATGAACTTGTTTGATCTGCCTATAAGCTAGTCATTCACTTGTGCTGAAAAAATGACGAATTTGATCCACATAAGTTGGTTGATTTTTAGTCAAGTCTGGTCGATTTTTAGTTGTTCATATCAAAACTTTGCTCATCCAAACCACAGCGTATTGGATTACCAGGTTTCGATAATGTACCAGTATTTGTTTGCAAAACTAACTGTATTTACTTTTCGTGTTTCTTGATGTGCTATTCAGCCTGATATAATGGCTCCAGGAGTGGCCGTTTTAGCTGCCATAGCTCCCAAGAATGAAACAGGGACAGTCCCAAATGGGAAGAAGCCATCAAAATTTTCCATAAAATCCGGGACATCAATGGCTTGTCCACACGTAACGGGGACTGCTGCATTCATCAAGTCAGTGCATCGTCAATGGACTACTTCCATGATCAAATCAGCCCTTATGACAACAGGTATTCTTTTGACTTTTCGACATCTTGTGCAGCCATTCTATGTTAACGATATTGTGTGCATCAATCTTTCTTTGATTTCAATGCAAAATATTTAGGAAGATACTTCACGAGAATTACACGGTTTCCTAACCTAGATTATACTCGTTTGAGTTTATTTCCACTTGAAAGTACCGGCACGCAGGAGATACTTATATCGACCTCTTTTCTTGTTTCAGCAACCATTTACAACAACATGAAAATGCCTTTGACAGACAACTCTAACCACTTTGCAAATCCACACGAGGTGGGGGTCGGAGAAATAAACCCACTTAAAGCTCTTAACCCGGGACTTGTCTTCGAAACCAAAATAGAAAACTATCTTGAATTCCTTTGCTATTACGGCTACCCAGAGAAGAATATAAGATTTATGTCAAACACAAAGTTCAACTGCCCCAAGATCTCCATTGAAGAACTCATCTCTAACATCAACTACCCGTCCATCTCCATTAGTAAGCTCAACCGGCGCCAACCTGCAAAGGCTATTAAAAGAACCGTGACCAATGTTGGAGCCCTGAATTCTACGTACATTGCCAAGGTTCAGGCTCCTGTAGGCTTAACAGTCAGTGTACTCCCGGAGAAGTTAGTTTTTGCTGAGGGTGTGAGGAGGGTGTCTTTCCAAGTGTCATTTTACGGCAAGGAGGCTCGTAGTGGCTACAATTTTGGGTCCATAACATGGTTTGATGGTCAACACTCAGTTCGTACTGTGTTTAGTGTGAATATTGAGTAAAGTCGGAATGTGAAAGTGTTAACTGCTTGGAGTGATCTGAAAGATAGAGTTCTTTAATGTCAGGAGGGGTAAAATGTAAAAGAAAAGGAAGACAAAAGTAGGATAAGTATTTTTATGTCATCACAAACCCGTTCCCAATATACATAAAGAAAAAGAGCTAGTTCGAGTTGCAGGCTGAGGCTCATTGGTGTTGCGTAGCGCGAAAAGATGAGGTGATGTTTCAGCCTTTTCGATCTAATATACAAATCCCCCAAACCTTTCGCCATCTCCTTGTCTCTGTCTCTTTCATTTTTTGTGTCCACTGTGCCATCCGGCCGCTGTTTGACAATGTATTTTTGCTACTGTGATTTATAACTTACTTGATTATATTTCCTCATCTATTTGGACAATGAATATTACCTTTTTGTTAATATGTTTACTTAAATTTGGTAATGACAAGGTTTCGGAGCCTTAATTGTCGTTGTCAAGTAATCTGCAGCCCAAAAGAGAATGTGTAATCTCTCATTTTGGAGCTTAGCTCCGACAACTCTGAAAATAAAACTAGTACCTTCATCGTATAGATGTATATATTGATCTAGTTAGAGCATTCAGCAAACCAGTCAATGGTAGCCAAGCAACTGAGACATTAACATTGGTAAGTGCAGGAGAAAGTCCATATAGCAATCCAGACAATCAGGCATGGCCTACTTATCAAGAATAACCATTTGGGCAGGTTGGGCAGGTTGGATGGTCAACACAATCATAATTCAAATAATTCGGGTTTGGATTTGACTCAGTTCATGCTGGTTTTGCCGGGTTCGTGTTTGCCAAACTTTGAGTTCGATCTTATAACACCTTACTTTCATTTCTTTCTTTTTCTCCGTTTCCTTCTATGTTGTTAGTGGCCTTGACCTTTATTATATAGGCAAATGAATGGGTAATGACATCATTGCTTACACAGACATAATATCATTGTTTACACATGCATAATATCATTACTTGCACATACATGATGTCATCCACTTTAACCAAATAATGGACATCGATATTTACAACAATTTTATGATGGGGAGTGTGATGTCATTACTTGCACATACTGTTCTAATACATCGAAGATTTTTCTTCGGGTCACCTATTCTTGTAGATCGTGATGGTATTGCTTCGCTAATCCATGTTAGGATGGGGAGTGTTGTCTTTCTATTGCCAATTGATTTTGAGGTGAAATTTCAACTTCGTAATAGTATTAGAACAGGGTTGTCATGTGTGACGTCTAATGGCCACACACACACCAGGTCACCCAATATGTTTTGTCCATGTGTTTGCCTTCAGTGTTGGCGTGTCACCACACGTTTAGGGTGTGTAAGGATGTAAAGTGCATGGAAAAGTGAAGGGACCTTGCATATACTTAAAGGAATTGGGCTACTCTCCTTATTGTCAACCTCGACTTCCTTTGGTCTGATGTACTTTGTCTGAGTCCTTGGCTTATCCATCAGGGCAACCCTAGTTCCTCTTGCAACAAATCACCATTTGTTCAAAACTCGGTGCATCCTGAAAAGCAAGCACCTGTGGAAATTGCATGGCGTCCACATTTGAACACATGTTTAGTTTCTGTAAAATCAAAATAAGATGGATTACAAGAAAACAATAAACAAATTCTTACGTAGATGGGGATTTTAAAAGAGATTTTAATATCATCTCTAAATCAACCTAATCATCTATTATTTGCGGAACCTCTTTTTTGCCCTCCTTTTAAATGATGTAAATCAGAACTTTTTTGTATGTTCTTTTTATCTTTTTAAATTTTTTAGTGGTTACCCTGCTATCTACATCCCATTAAGTTGTATTGCACAATTCTTTTGATTCTCTTTGATAATTTATTAGGTCTTTCAATTTTGTGAAGATTGCTTTGATTCCTCATGTTATGAGTTTAATTTTTTTTTTTTTCCCGTACGTATAAGAAGGATCGTCCCTAACATAGAATTCTGACTCCACCACGGCTGATGTTTGCATTGTTTATCTTTTTCTTTGAAACGTTTTCACCAATTTTCATGGGGTGCATGGATGAGTGGTTGGAGAATATACTCTTTTTATCTTATCATTTTTCAGTTTGATTTTTAAGATTATTAATTTACAATTTTATCATTATTAGAAACAATGTCTTCTCTTTCAGTTTTTTTTTATAATTAGGGATTTATTGAAAGATTTGAACTCAAAAAAATAGAAGGAAATAGGCGTATCATATTTAAAAAAGAATCCTTGTTGCACAAGTAATCAAATTTGTACATAATAAAGAGGCATATCATCAAATCCCCCCATACTCCGTGATATACTAAACCCTAATTCAATCATGAAACGAAGGCAAACCCTCTCCGTTCTCAAAGCATGCCAAAACCAAAATGTCAACCTTTCACAAATCCTCACAAGAACGGCTCCCACTACTCTTCTCGGCCTTCCAGAGATCAGAGTACTTTCCACGCCGCCGCCGCCGCCACCTCAGCCCCAACCGCCCTCTTCTGGTGATCCCTTCACCGACCTCATGGTTGCCAATTTCAGCCATATTACGATTTAGCCGATGCGGCCATGACCCCCAATGGGCTTGACTGAGAATAACTCCCCCACCTTCTTGTCCTCCGGTAACCCTTGCCTTGATTTCTTCTTCCATGACGTACCCGACACGCCTGCCTCTTATATGAATGAACAACTGCCACTGGCCTGGTCACACAATGCCCTAACCACCCTCAAGCTCATATGCAACCTTCGTGGCGTACGTGGCACTGGAAAATCCGACAAGGAGGGGTTCTACAAGGCGGCGTTTTGGCTCCACCAGAACCACCCCAAAACCCTAGCGTGCAACGCCACGTCTGTCGCGCAAATCGGCTTCTTTAAAGACCTCCCCGAGATTCTCTACCGCCTTGTAGATGGCCAGGAGGTGAGGGAAAACCAGAAGGCCGAGTGGTTACAGAAAAAAACAATTAGCAAGCGTAGCTCCCACAGCTATGAATGTGATGATACAGGTCCTAAACAGGGTAAAAGAGGTGAAGCTGGAAAAAAAAAGAGCCAGCATGGAGCCTACGGAGGTTCGGGTGATGAAGGATTTAGAGAGGGGGAAATTGGAAAAGGCAAAAGCAAGCTCTTTGAGGAGAGAGAGGTTCATCGCCCAGACCAAGAAGGCTTTTGAAAGGTACTAAAGTGATCCAGATTATCGGTTTTTACACGAGCGAGTTTCTTATGTTTTTGCCAAGTGTTTGAATTACGATATTGCAAATTTGAAGTCTTCTAAAAATAGTCCTTACTTCACTCTGGCGGCCAAGTGGTGCCCTTCCCTCGACTCCCCCTATGACCGCACCACATTGTTGTGCGAAAGCATTGCAAGGAAGGTCTTCCCCAAAGAATTGTACACAGAATATCAAACGATTGACGATGAACATTACACATACAGAGTGAGAAACCGACTAAGGAAGGAGGTTTTGGTGCCGTTGAGGAAGGCCCTGTAGTTACCCAAGGTTTATATGAGCTCCAACCAGTAGAGCTCCATTCCATACAATCGAGTGGCCTTTGTGGCGATGACTCTTTACAAAGAGATCTTTTTGTTGCATGATAAAGTGAGGTTTGAGAAGTACTTGGAGGATGTAGAGGCAGGAACATCCAAGATTGCGGCAGGTGCATTGCTTCCTCATCAGATCATACATTCTTTGGAGGAGGGAGATCTTGGTGGAAAAGTGTCTGAGCTCCAGTGGAAGAGAATGGTGGATGACATGTTACAGCACGGGAAGATAAGGAATTGCATGGCTGTATGTGACATATCGTCAAGTATGTCCGGAACACCCATGGATGTGTCGGTGGCTTTGGGGCTTCTGGTGTTTGAATTGAGTGAAGAGCCATGAAAGGGGAAGGTGATCACTTTCAATGAGCGGCCTCAGCTGCATTTAATACAAGGCGATGACCTTCGGTCTAAGTATGAGTTTGTGAGGAATATGGATTGGGGAATGAACACTAATTTTCAAAAAGTCTTTGATTTGCTTCTCGAAGTGGCTGTGAATGGGAATTTGAGGCCAGAATATATGATAAAGAGGATTTTTGTGTTTAGCGACATGGAGTTTGATATGGCTTTACGACATTATTCCATGTCCTCGCCACATTATAAGTGGGAGACGGATTATGAGGCAATACAGAGGAAGTTTAAGGAGAAGGGGTATGGAGATGTGGTGCCACAGATAGTCTTTTGGAATCTTAGACACTCAAGTTCTACGCCCGTGTTGGAGATGGAACCAGGGGTGGCGCTGGTGAGTGGCTTTTCCAAGAATATGCTCAAGTTGTTCATAGATAATGACGGGGAAATTCGCCCAGACCATGTCATGGAAGCGGCCATTTCTGGCAGAGAGTATCGGAGTCTGGTTGTAGTGGATTGATTTGATAGTCATCATCAAATCTGTTTCTAGTTTTCTTTCCTTTTTCCTTGAAAATAAAATTCGATGTTAAAACTTTTACAGTTTACTTCATTTTTCAATTTCGTACCTGGGGAAAAGGAAAACCATATGTTTTTGCTCTCTGTGATTTCTGCGTATTCAGTTCCTAGCTATTTTTCTTTGAAATGAATCGAACCGATGTGGAAAGCATATTGCATGAGGTAAATTTCAGATGTTCTTATTCAGCAATGATCTAACACACGCACACGCACATGCATATACACAATCGTTATTGATTGTACTGGTTTGATTGTTTGTTGGGAAATATATTGGACCATATGAGTTTAGAGTTAAAATCAAGGGCATCATTTCATTTAAAAAGCTGCTAAATTTGTTCTATGAAACTCAAAATTCGCTTCATATTGTTTTTGTTTTTTTGTGAAATCCCGTCCCGAAATTTATTGTATTTTATTCTTAGTAGTAGTGAAATCAATAAAATGCCCTTGAGGTGCCACGTAGGCCTTCCACGTGGTCCTCAATTTTCCTTTCACTTTTCCACTCTTATTGTACTTGTCACATCCCGGCCCGGGCCCCCATCACAACCTGGGCTCGACTCCACCGTAGCACGATATTGTCCGCTTTGAGCCCCTACCACACCTTTACGGTTTTGTTTCTGGGAACTCACACGAAAACTTCCCAGTGGATCACCCATCATGGGAGTGCTCTCGCGCGCTACTCGCTTAACTTCAGAGTTCTCATGGAACCCGAAGCCAGTGAGCTCCCAAAAAGCCTCATGCTAGGTAAGGATGAGAATATACATATAAGGCTTACAAGATCCACTCCTCTGGACGATGTGTGATGTTACATTAATACTCTCAACAAAACATAAAATATAATCTCAAATGCATTAAATGTCTTTTTCTTTTTTTTTTCTTTTTTTTTTTGTATTAAAAAATGACATATGACGTTTGATAAGGTAGAAAGATCCAATTGCAAAGATTAGTTGCTAGCATTTATCAATACTGATTTTACTAATTCCAACTTATACTCTCATATTACATAATCCAACGAGTCACCCGAGTAAAATTTTGAATGAATGAACCAAATGGTATTGTGGTAGGGACTGTTCCTCCTCCCAAAACAATGAGAAAAGAATTCTGCTTCCTCTCTAATTAATCGTTTGTCCAAAGCGAATAAAATAAAAAGAAAAGAGAAATGTTAAGGGGATTATGTGTTATTGCGTGTTTTTTATGCAATGTTTTATAATATTGACATGAAAATTGAAATTAAATAGTGAGATGACAACGAGTCTATGAAAACAACTACTTTTGAGGGAGTCCCATAGCATTTCCGAAGGAGAGAGGCTACCTCTCAGTTGACTCAGTTCTGTACATTCTTTTGGATTTATACCAAAGTTAATACATTTCCTATAAGAGTAAAGGAAGTTACCGGCTATCCACTTCAACTCACAACCACTTCGCTATTACGTAGCTGCAGTAACAGTAAGTCAATGCCATGTATTCACACAAGTAACTCAAATATTCACGACTGGATGTTGCAGAATGCTACAAATTATCCCCAAGCTCCTGTTTGATGTCCTAATGATGTCGCGCTATGGTACCTGGTCGGCACGCAACTTTTTGCTTGTAGGGCACGATCCCAGTTCCTTTTCAAGTTGTACAGACGGCTGCTTCTCATCTGCAGTAATTTCTACAAGCCCGGCCATCCCCCTCAACCTCGACTCTCTCAGTCCCCTCGATCTGGTCTAAACCGGCTTTTGGTCTGTTAAAACTGAATACGGATGGAGCCTTCAATGCAATGGGTGGTATCGAGGTCCTACGGGTGTGATTCGAAACCATTTGGTTTTGGGTGACTTTGTGGTTGCATTTTGTCGCAGGCTCTCCCTTGTCGCTAGTCCTGTACCAGTTGAAGAGTTGGCTGCAAGAGAAGGAATCAGCTTGGCCTTCAGCATAATGCTTCCCCATACAATATACACCCTAGTGATTGAAGATGTGAAATCCAGTTTACGATCCATTTCTATCCCGAATCGTTCATGCCCGACGGTCAGCTGTTGTCGTATTACGGACGGTCAGCTATTGTAGTGGATCATAGATTGGTCAAGTTAGCCTTAGTAAATGAGGTTCCAATATTATCGATGATATTGTTTTCCAAGATTGTAATTGTTAGTTATCGATAAATCACTATTGTTTCGTCTAAAATTCAAAAAACCATTATATATTGTGCTCAATTCCAAACAAGAAAAAAAAAAAAAAAAAAAAAAAAAAAAAAAAAGAGAATTCCCACTTGCTATAATATTCCTGAAATATCATAAAATATTGATAACACAACTAGAACGCAAGTGCTTAATACATATTAGTTTGGAATGTGTTGGAGATATTGCACATCGCTTTGTAATATCAACGAGATGTTTCACAAATAAGGTCAATGCCTCCCGTAGCCTAACTCCCTGTTCACATCGGTCTCACCGAAGCCTTCTACAACCTTTGCCAAGTCTCTTTTTGCTACCTCTAGATCTACCTCTGCAACTGCTAGCCTCGCCCTTAGCCTCTTCACTCCCATTTCCAACGCATCCACATCCTCTCTCAGAGTTTTAACTACCCCTGCCCTTTCCATAAGCTTCTTCACGTCCAGAGCAGATTGCACGTAAGGCTCCAGCCAACCCAAGTCAAATTTAAAAGTCTTAAGCTCCTCCCACAAAAGCTGAACGCGTTCACTGGTATCTGGGGTCATATCCTTCACCTTCGTAGTCTTCAGAAAATGTAAAACTCGACCCAAAGCTGTGAATGCCCATTCAATATACGTACGGCTTCTCTTCTTTTGGCACTCAATCAACGAGGGATGCCACGAACAAACTTCCTCTAGCAGTGGAACAAAAGCTCTCTCTATTTTCCCTAAACCCCTAAAATCCATGAGCTTACCATCTGGAGCGGAGAGCACTTTTTCGTGTCCCTGTTCAGATGTAGGTGTTGTAACTGGTGCAGATGAGTGTGGAACTTGCACGGAATCCACACTTGAAGGTTTCAGGGCCTGATCTTCTTGCTTTGAAGGCTCTTTGGGTGCAGAACTGCCAGTTCCTTGGTCTTCGAAATTCTTTATGTCTACCTTACGGACTGCAACCCTGGCCTCAATAATGCATTTATCATTGCGAACAAACTTTCCTCCATCATAAAACTCATTCAGAGGCATGAATGATGTGAATCCCCAGTCTGTCTCACTGGCATTGAACTCGTGTTGAGTCTCTGCAAAATCAAAATATGAAGGATCACAGAAACACTTAATTGCCAAAGTATTCATAACCAACCGAGAACTAATAAAAAAACAACAACAAAGGAAGCTTATTCCTAATTTTAACACAACCAAACCCAAGACCATATATACATGTAGAGGTATTCAAACATGTAAGTAGAAACATAAAATTCCTTTTGAACTTAACCATTGGATGAATCCATCTCAAAATTATATTATTTTCTTCAAAAGAAATCTCCCTTCTATTGGTTCTTGGACAATAAAAGTGACAGTTCTTCGTTCTCTCTAACTAATGGTTTCCCCATAACGAAAAGGGGAAGCAAAAGTTTAATTTTTCCCTCAAGTCCCTGATTCCAAACAAGTGTAAAACTTTAACTACAACCGAAGCCCCATATCCTAAAGTGAACTGACTATTGTTTGTTAACAAAGTTGAACGGTACCTATTTCTTTCTTGCAGGAAAAAACTACAAATACGGTAACAGGGTGCCCATTAGCGATCACAACCAATAATCACGACTGAATCAAGGCAGAGCCTCAATAACCGTATGCAAGAATCGCAACCTCCAGTTCAAGCAGAATTGGGCACAAAATGAAAAGAAAACAGACAAGAAAAAGCAAACGTAAATGCGAAATCAACCCAAATGAACAACGGAGAAAATACCCTTTGTTATCGACATGTTTCTGCTCAGCTGATTAACCACTGTCAAGCTGAATTGGGCATACCTAGTCCACAGAGATGGTAAATCCGAAGCATCTACAACCTCCAAATACAAAGACAAGTGCTTTACGTTGTTCCCTTTCGGAAATACAAGGATCCGCCTGATCAAACCAACCAATGAAATCAATTAATCCCAAAACCAACAATGATTCATCTCAAAACACACACAACCTCGAAGCGATTTAAATATTAGCAGGAGGGGATGCGCAAAATTGAATTACCATTTCCAATCACCGACGAGGAAAACCTCGGAGTAATGCGTCCGGGTTATCAACTTCGAGACATTTTCGATTGTCCATGTGAATAACCTAGTGACAAGTTCCCCTGCTACGTTCTGCTGATTCTCCATTGTGGATGATCCCAGCTAAGCTCCCGAACTTAAACCCATAAACAGTAAACAAATCTATATCATTAGCACGGAATATCGAACAACAGAGACTAATTTACAAGACCCACAACTCAGACATACCTTCCAATCGACGATCACAGAGAGAGAAAGGGCTCTACGACAAAAAGCAATATACGAGGGAGGGAGGAAAGGGAAGAGGATGGAAATGGGAGGGAACAGAATAGGTGATGGCTTGAAAAGCAGTAATTTAAATAGTCTTGAAATTTTCTTTGCACCAAACAGACACTTCCAATATGACACGCAATGAATGAATCCTATACCTAATCATTACTTTAGTCTAAAGGCTCCTGGTTTTACCATAATTTTAAAATAAAAAAGGGCACCCTTCGGATCCATTATGTGGGGGATCCTTATATCTTAGCCGTTTATTATGTATTGTGCGGTCAGTTTTCGTCATGTATTATTTATGTTTAATTTAAAATAATAAAAATAAAATGATTTCTGACCGCACGATACACGGTCGACAGTTAAGATGTGAGGATCCTTAGAATTCTCGCATAATGGATCTAAAGGGGATCCTTTTTCTTTTCAAATAATGTCTAAATAATTAAAAGTGGAAGATAAAAGTGGCTTGGAAGAGATTGACGTCGACAATGGACACGGGGATGTCCTCGAAGTCGCTTGAGGGATTTTCTCACCGGAGTCGTCGTTGTCCATACATGGCAAGTTGCCGGCATGGCCATGGACGTTGATCCATCAACAAGCTCGGACGCGGTGAGGCAGAGGAAGTTAAACAGTTTACTTAGGTCATCTCCAACCGATCCGGCCAAAGGGTTATAGGGCTAAAAAAAACTCGAAATGACACGAAAAATGGTCTCCAACTGAGGGTTAGGCCAAAGGGCTTGTGGGCCCCACTGGGCCAAAAATCTGAAATCAGGCCAACCGGCTAGCCCATTCTAACCAGCCCAAGGCGGGCCAAAAATTTGAACTGCAATGGCTACCTAGTGTTAGCATAACGCCAGCTAGCTGACGTTAAGTTACTGTTGCATTTGAATTTTTTTTTTTTTTTGGACAAATTTGTTTTTTAAAAAATTCTATTTTTTTTCCCTATAAATACCTAAACCATTCCTACACCATTTCTCATATAATTTTCACCATTCCATACTATCTTACTTCATTTTATTTCAATTCTTCACGTTCTATTCTCTTACCTCTTCCAAAAATCTTTCCTTCAATTTTTTCAATAATTTTCAAATGGCCACATCAGCTGTTACAATCCGTCCATAGTTTCATAAAAAAAAAAAAATGAAACGATCAAAATGCCCTTAGAGGTAATGTGTCGACTTTCATTGACTTACTGGTCAAGACACGTGTGACATATTAATTAGTATATTCTAACAACACTTGTTATTATGAACAATTAATCATAAGTCTAGCGAAAATTAGAACTAGAAAGATTTTACAAAACACGTATAAATCATTTTATTTAAAGTAGTCAAAAAGATAATAGCACTAGATTTAAAATATTAATGTTAGAGAAGAAAATAATAAGGAAAGAAGAAAAGAGGAGAGGTGGAGAAGGATCGGGAATAAATGAAAAGCAAGGAAGGAAAGGAAAAAGGGGAGAAGGGGGGAAGAACCTCTTCTTCTTCTTCCTCCCTCACTCACGGGATCCCTTTCAAACTATTTTCATCATAATTTCCTCATACGATAACGAATAACGTTCTTCCCTCGTGGGCTCTCCTCTAGCGTAAGTATTTTCCCAAGGTTTTAACTTTTAGTTTTGGGGTCAATTCATGGTTTCGAATTTTAATTCGATATTTTGCATGTATATTTGAGATGATGCTTGTTGTATTGTTTAGGAGTTTAATCGGAACCCGGTAGTCATGATTGGTTGCATATATAGGGAAGAACATTGAAATCCTAACCTCAATTCGGTTCTCTTTAGAAATTTAAGGGTTGGGTTTGTTTTATAAGTATTAATGTTATTCCATAATCAAGGCCAGATACATTTGAATATTTTGTGTGCCATATTTGTCCTACCCATGAAGAACATTGCTGAGTTTGTATGTGTTGTAGCCCAGATTTGTGTAGATAATTAGAGTTCTAAAACTAGTGAGTGGTTCTATATTTTTCCATGGCATTGTCATATGCTGATGCTAAATACTGGATTGGACAATGCTGTTACTAGAGTAGTATATGACTCTTGGTTTTGGTCATTAATTCATTGGTGGTTCACTATTTCATTCTTTCAGCGGATGAAGAGTTTAAGACTGCTAAGGATTTATATTTTTATTTTGAGGCACTTGAATAAACAGTTTGGTTTTCTGTGTTAATTATTAAGAATCATCGATATGGTTTGGCTGGTGTACTAGTTACGAATAATTATTCGAATGTTATAGTTTAGGGATTGCATGTTATTCTATGGCCTGAGAACTAGTTCCTTGATATCAAACATTATACCTATTCTCTAATTGAGTATGACTATGTTCTGAGTTCAAGACCAATTTAATATGGCAGGTCAGGTTCTTGTGATTTGTTTGGCATGCTTATTTGATTAACTAGTGCAAATAAATGTTATCAAATTTAGTGAAGTTATAAATGTACTAGATTCTATGTGAGGTGGTTGTTTTCAAACAATTATATGCTAAATCCATAACTACTTATATAGAGAAAATGGATGCAGCTAGTTTTATCTGCCTATGTATCAAATCAACGTATCTTCCTCACTCAATTTCATTATATACTCCAATTGGGTTAGTTCTAACGAACCATTCTATTATGCTATAACTAGTCCAGCTAGTTATCATTAGATTATAGTTATATTGTTGCTTTTATATGTACTATTGGCTTTGTATTTTGGTATACAATTTAAAGGGGGTATGCTTATAGTAGTTGATTACAATTATATCTAAAGTGTATTGGTTAGTAATGTCGTGGCTGGTATAGGTATCAATAGTGGACTGACCCAATTTGGTAAGATTAATTACTACACCTTTATATGTATCATGTTGTTTGCTTAAATGGTAGAATGATGTCCCATTAAACATAAATATCTATCCGCATGCCCATACTGAAACCAAAATCAAGTTGATGATTCACGTTGTGAAGCTATATGTAAATATTTCTCATATGCCTAGACAAGCTGCACAAAGAAAGCATACAGTTTTTAATAGTTATTCCGATTACATGTTTGTAGGAATGTCTTGCAGTAGTGAACTGGTGAATTACGAATGGCTTGATCCCTATTTAGGGTACGTAGGCAGTCTAACAAGGAGGTTAGATGCAGCCATAAAGTATACGAAAGAAAAAAAAAACTACGCAATTCGAATCTTGAGTTTTGTTTTGTCCATATCCCGGAGGTGGGGTATGTGTGATATACGGGTATTTGGTGCACGTGTCGATTCCAGAAGTATGTCAGGATTGGGGCGTGACATCAATAATGAAAGGAAGGAGTTGGACCTGAAAAGAAGATGAAGCTCTTTGCAGGGCTTATAGATGAGTCTCGGAAGATAGTGTCAAAGGGAGTTCTCAAACAAGTGAAGGTGTTTGGAATCGTACATCCAAAAAGTACTATGAGTTCTCCAAAGGCACCACTGCACTGAATAACCGAAACCTCGAGAGTTGTTTTCCAGGATGGAAAAAACATCTTCATCCAAGTTTGAATAAATGACATCAAGCAGTGGTAAAGGTCGGAAGTAGACATGAAAGTGAAGCCAATTACTACTACGAAGTCAGTGTTTTCACAAGTTATTTTAAATATTTAATTATATTATATTTAATTTCATAAATTATTTTCCTTTAAATTTTGTAATTATATTTTCTAGGCGAGGAATTGTGTATGGAGGACAACTTGAAACCCTTTAGTCATCACGGTTGTTGGAAAATTTGTAAAGGGTGGGTGTTATTTCAAGATCCATCTCAAGAAAGATTTGGTCCTACGCCAGTGTTCGGAAATGTTTCCTCAAATGTAGTTGGGGATGAACAAGGATTTCCTACCATTCGAGAAACAAGGGTAGAAAATCCGTCTCTAGGTGAATCTTCCATACCTAGGGCTATGGGACGAAACAAGGCCCGGAAGTTAAAGGAAAAAGGCAAGGCAAATGATGATTTAGCCTTTCAATAGGAAATGGCGTCCTCATTGTGATTAATGGGGGAGCACAATGCCTTTGTTGCGGAAGAAAGGAACCGTAGGCACGATTAATGGGCAAAACAAATACAAGAAGAGATGGATGATAGGAACATGCAAAGGAACACTTCGGATTACACTCCAATGAGTAAGACATATTTTAATAGGAAAAAAAGGGAAATTATGGTCCGACGGGAGTTGTTTACATCCGACTATACTCCTACAATGGCGGATAAAGATGATGATTATAGTCTTTAAATTGAAGCTGTTGTAGTCTTTAATATTTAAGTTGTAGTTTTTAAATTTAAGTTGTTGTAGTCTTTAAATTGAAGTTGTAATCTTTAAATTTAAGTTGTAGTATTTAAATTTAAGTAGTTGAATCTTTAAATTGAAGGTGTTGAATCTTTAAATTGAAGTTGTTGTAGCTTTTAATATTTACGTTGTACTCTTTAAATTAAACAACATTAAACAACATAATCTCCACCCTAGTACTACTTGGGGGAGTTATTCAAACTTAAACAACATTAAACAAAATAAAACTTAAACGCCTACTCCATGCTTCTTTTGGTCCAAAGATGTGCAACAAGATCTTATTGTAGGTACTTGTTTGTGGCACGCGAACGTACCATCCTATGGCGCCTCATATGCTTATTTGAAGAGATATTACCAGTTCTTGGATCCAAAGGCAAATTAAGTCCATCATACATTTTCGCACGACCCTTCCTTGACCTATTAGATCATCTTGTTCTTCAGTTTCCTCACACGCCATGACCCTAGCCATTGCTACCATATATTTTGTGTTGCGCCATGCTTCATCTTCTTCATCAGACTCCTCATCTTCTCGTCTCATCTACGCCCATTTATCTTCCAATTCGGAATTGGAATCGGACCCCTAGTTGGAATGCGAAGAGGATCCGAAGTTAGAATTCATTGCAAACTTAAATTGAAAGAGATATTGGAAAGGGCAAAGATGAAGGTGTGTGAATTCTACCCCAATATCCAACCTATTTATTAACATTGGAAGTTGAAGATAAGAAGTGTCACGTAGATAAAAATTGACACACCCAGATCCTGATATTCCCTGAATACCAGGATAGGCAGGTGCTGGCCAACACCCGAGGGTGACGAAAGCTATTTATTGAGTGCAAATGCTGAAAAACAAGGGATAGATAAGACTTATAAATATAAAAGAATAATGAATATGAATTTAAGGAACGTGTTCAGGACATACAACTAACTAGAACACTAAAAGAAATAATATAAAATTAAATGAATAAAAGAATGGGTCCTACGCCAAGAGGACTCGAATGCCGATGCGGATATGCCTAGACGCTAGGATTGTATGCCTCAATTCTAAGTCTTGAAGAGGGCACAAAACAAACATGAGTGGACTAAGTTAATATATATATATATATATATATATATATATATAATAAAACAGTTATCAAAGTACTAACCCTCAGGTTTTATGAAAACACATATATTATGATAAACATAGGTTTTCCAAAACCTAGCATGTTGTGCAATGTCTCAAATCATAACTTGTATATATAATAATCACTAGTGAATGTCCGATAACCCTCGGGCCCTATGCTGGCTCCCCGTCTCTGAGCAGAAAATCAGAGGAAAATACACTCCAGGCCCTATGTCGGCTCCCCGTCCTTGTGCTAATAGCCAGAGGAAACACACTTCAGGCCTTATGCCAACACCAAACCGTCGCCCGGGACGGACCGAAATCTATCCCTACATCCCGTAGCAGAATAAGGACCACTAGATAAGTACAAAACCATTGAACATACATATATTGAAAAGCAACTTCATAGTATAAAGTCATCCATCATCTATACTATAAAGAGATGTTCTAACCATGTTCTAAATATCATATCGTCATCTATCAGATATTCTATTAGAACACGAGTTATAGGAAAAATAGTAATAATTCAAACTAACCTCAGCAAGCATGTTATCTCATAAAATGTTTCATAAAACATAGTCATCAAATCATGCTTTTCATGTATGCATTTTTAGAAAGGGTCCACTCACCGTACACAGTTGGTGCAAAACTGTACCAAAAAGGAATAACGGAATCGCCTCTATTAATTGTACCTATGTACATAAAGGATACATTTAGTTAACTCTACTCAAATGATTGAATTTGGGAAAACGGACTTAAAAAATGGGTCCAGGACGTCTAAATTAGCCTATGAGAGGTCCCGGACAAAAACTCGAAAAGTCAACCCGAAAGTCAAAGTCAAAAGTCAACAGTCAATAGGTCTGAGTCGAACCGGGTCAAGTTAACGGGTCGTGGGTCCGGGTCGGGCCGGGTCAAATGGGTCTGGGCTTAAGATTGGATCCGGGTTTGGGCCTTAGGGTTTGGGTTTAAGTTTAGGGCTTTAGGGTTTAAAGGGTATTGGGCTTGAAAGCCCGGTCCAACTAAAAGGGTTTTGGGTTTGAATAAAAAGGAATTTGGGTTGGGCTTCACGAGGCTTGGGCCTCTGGACATTTAGGCTCCGAGTTTGGGTCAAATGGGCTAGGTAACCCAGCCCAAAGGCCTGGGTTAAGGGTGGTTTTCAGGCCACCCTTTGGCCGGTTTCTGGGTTGACTTCAAACGCCCATAACTTCTTCGTTACTCAACCAAATCAAGTGATCCAACAACGAAAGTCATAGTTCTCGAAGAGACGAAGAGAATGGTACCTTGCATGATGGCTAACTCGTTGTGGTTTGGCTGAAAAATACCTCGAAAGCCTTGGAGGTTGCCGAAAACTGGGTAAGATTCAAATGAATATAACTTCTTCAATACTCAAGGAAATTGGATGATTCAAAAAGGAAAGTTGTAGTACTCAGCAAGACGAAGAGATTGATAACTTACACGCCGGCCAACTCGCCGTGTTTTGGCCAGAAATTTCCTCTAAATGGGCGGTGTTCCTCGTTGGAAAATCTGAAAAATGCTTTCCCGAGTTACTTTGGTGTTTAAACCGTACCATAACAACTCAAACACTATCTAACACAATAACAAGCACGATCTATGGAGATTTAGGTGTGCTATGCACTTACCTTGTCGGAGATCTCGTGCATAATGATTGTGCACAGTGCCGAGATGGATATTGAAGGTGAGGGAGGGAAAGGTAAAGCTCAGATGATGAAGTTGATGGTGAAGTCCTCCTAATGGCTGTGTGTATGTATGTTTGGGTGTGTGTGTGTGTGATCTTGTTGGAGAGAAGAGCACCGAGAAGGGGGGAGTAACAGGGGGAGAGAGTACGAGTAGAGAAAAGAGAGTGAGGGAGGAGAGAGAGAGAGATTGTTCAGAAAAAAATAAAATAAAAGGGAAAGGGAATCGGGGGACAAAACAGGGGGTGGGCCCCTTGGGCTCACCAATTAAGACCCAAAAACCATTATTTTAAACATAAGAAACCCAACCAAAGTGAAAATACGAAAATACTCTTTTTGTTTCGTAAATCTCGGGACGGGTTGTTACAATCTACCCCACTTAAAAGAATTTCGTCCAGAAATTTAAAATCACTTACTAAACTGAAATACTCGAAAATAGGTGGAAGAATATATGTATAAAGAGAAATCAAGTCAGAGTGGGTGCATCAAAGAGAATATGCCACACCGTCGTGAGTGGGTTGCAAAATCCTCTATCATGCCTCCAAGCTCTTACTTTCTTCCCCATCAGTGTAAAAGTAGAACATACTTTAATAAAATATAAAGCTGAAAACATATATTGACGTAAGGTCAAAAATAAGCATGCAAAATAATATAGTGTCAAAATAGATATGTACTAACATATAGGTCAAAACTTCGTGCTTAACTTAAAACTGAAAACGGAGATACTTTCCCCAAAACATTTGTAACGCCAAAAACAAATAACTAAAGGAAGGAAGTTAAAATACCTATACTGAAAATTCAAAATTGGAAAATAAGAGTGGGTCTCGCCTAAGCATAAGAAACGTTACGTACTCCGAGGATAAATATGTTTTTATAAAACCTGGGGGTTAGTACTTTTGATAATTGTTTTATTATATATATATATATATATATATATCAACTTGGTCCATTCATGTTTGTTTTGCGCCCCCTTCAGGACTTAGAATTGAGGCGTACAATCCGGTGTCCAGGCACTTCTGCATCGGCATCTTCGAGTCTTCTCGGTGTAGGACCCATTCTTTTATTCATTCAATTTTATATTATTTCTTTTAGTGTTCTAGTTAGTTGTATGCCCTGAACACGTTCCTTAAATTCATATTTATTATTCTTTTATATTTATAAGTTTTATCTATTCCTTATTTTCAGCATTTGCACTCAATAAATGGATTTTGTCACCCTCGAGTGTCGGCCAGCACGTGCCTATCCTGGTATTCAGGGAATATCGTGATTGGGGTGTGTCAAGAATCCTATATAAAATTTGCACAACCAATTACATCTCGACACGTGACACTCGAAATCCTATTCGAAATTTTTTAAAGATTACATAAAAATAAGAAATATGGAGAGTTACTCACTTTAGCAACACGTGTCAGAAATTATTGAGATTACATAAAGATAAGAAATCTGGAGAGTTATTCATGTTAGCGACACGTGTCACTCAAAATCATATCCGAAAAATTATTGAGATTACATCTTGACGAGAAATCTGGGGAGTTACTCACGTTAGCAACACGTGTCACTCGAAATCATATTTGAAAAATTATTGAGATTACATCTTGACAAGAAATCTGGGGAGTTACTCACGTTAGCAACACGTGTCACTCGAAATCTTATCCAAAAAATTATTGAGATTATAT